ACACACACACACAGAGAGAGAGAGAGAGAGAGAGAGAGAGAGAGAGAGAGAGAGAGAGAGAGAGAGAGAGAGAGAGAGAGAGAGAGAGAGATGGGTGGAGGGAGGGAAGCGGCGGAGAGGAGGAGGTGGAGGAGGAGGAGGAATTGTGCCAGATTGTTTGCCAGCTGGCAGTTGTACCTACCGGTAGTGCTGATGACGCTGGGCCTGGAATGGAGCGCAGATGGCGCCGCACTTTTCGGTCGTCATCAGGACCCCCCCTCCCCCTCCCCCTGGGGAAAAGGCCTGGACAGGAACGCGGACGATCGTCGGTTGTTTACAGATGTTGTGCTCTTGGCCGCTGCAGATTCAAGCATCGACGGTGACGGTGACGGTGCCAGCAGGTCGAACAACTACTACGATCCCCAGAGTGATCCTCTCTATCGAATCGCCTTCGGCTCTTGCAGCCACCAGTCCAAGCCAACGACTGTGTGGCACCACGTACTCAATTTTGCCCCTCAGATGTTCATCTGGCTAGGGGACAACATCTACGGCGATTACAAGCAGCCCGCCCGGGTGGCAGGTCCCAAGAGGAATGTCGGTCCGTGGAAGGTCCATCCCCGTTTCCTGCCCGCACCTATGCAGTTGATGCAAGAGATGTACGACCTCCAGAAGAGCCATCCCATGTACTCTCGTGTTCGAGAGCAAGCTAAGGTGATCGGTACATGGGACGACCATGATTATGGCCTGAACGACGCAGGGAAGGAGTTTGAGTGGAAGCAGGAGAGCCAGAAGCTGATGCTCGACTTCCTCGACGAACCTATCAACAGTCCCAGGCGTAATCAGGAAGGCGTGTACGCTGCCTACGACTATGGCCCTCCTGGAAAGCGTGTCAAGGTTATTCTGACGGACACCAGATATCACAGAGAGAGTCCTTCGTCGGACAGCGATTTGCTGGGAGAAGAGCAGTGGCAGTGGCTGGAGCGGGAGCTGAATCACAGCACGGCCAACGTTCACATCATTGGCTCTTCGGTGCAGGTCATTCCCAATTTGACTGCAGTGCTTCAGCCCTTTGGTCAAGTCGAGGGATGGGCAAGGTTTCCTGCCTCTCGAAGTCGACTCTTCCGCATCCTCAAGGACAGCAATCTTCCAGGGATCTTCTTCATTAGTGGAGACGTACACTTTGCTGACATGAACAGATACGACTGTGCATTGCAATACCCCTTGTACGAATTCACTGCCAGCGGACTCACGCAATCAGTGGAAGAGATGGTACCTCCTTTGCTTCAACCAGTCCTTCGGCTCCTTGGTCTCTTGGTACCTGGGCCTCTGCGCATCCGCAGACCGTACGGAAAGCAGAATTTCGGGACCATCGAAATCAATTGGGACGACGACCCCATCAGTATTCACTTCAAGGTCCACAGGGACACCGGGGAGACTGTTCTGTCCCATCAAATCCTGCTCACCGAATTGCAAAGTCCACCTGGCACCGCAGAAGATTCAGCGAAAGGGGCCCGCCGCGGGAGTGACCAAGGAAGAGGAAGTAAAAGTTCAGAAGCAGGGAAATTTTGTGTCACAGAAACTGATCTGTCATGGTTTGCAAGGCACCGCTTTTTCTTCGCAGTGGTGGTTGTTTTGACGGCCTTAGCGGCCCTTGCAATTGGAGCCTGTTATGCAGTTTTTGCAGGGGTGTGGATGCTTTTGCACACAACCTGTCCCTGCGAAAGGATGAAGGTGGACTGAGACTGAGAGCATATTATTTGCCAGGCACAGCTGCTGCTTTTTTTTTTTTTTTTTTTTGGTTCTCCCTCTGCAGTGATGGCTGTGTTGTGACGGCGTTAGTGGCCCTTGCAGCAATAGGATTATAGGACCCTGTTATTATGCAGGAGGTATTGCAGGACTGTGGATGCTTTTTTTTTGGAGCAGATGGCAGGCATTGTGGATGCTTTTGCTGCACAGAACCGGTCGCCGCCAATTGGTGAAGGTTGACTGAGACTGGGAGCATATTTGCGTCTGCCAGGCACAGCTGTTTCCGGCGGAGTGATGGCTGCGGCGCTGACTGGCTGAGTGGCCCCTTGCAATGGGAGCTCTGTTATTTTCTGCAGTTATATTGCAGGGCTGTGGATGCTTTTGCTCAGAACCCGTCGCAACCAGACGAGCAAGGTTGACTGAGACTGAGCAGGTATGCCTTACTAGCTCAGTCCCCACAGCAGGCACATTCGTCGGCAACAACTTCGTATATGCTATCTTGATGGTTATCGCTGCGGACAAGTGGGTGGGCATGTTCTTTGCCAAAAGGGGGGAAGCTGAAAGAGCAGGGGCGTCCACGCACAACTGTGTGTGTGTGTGTGTGTGTGTGTGTGTGTGTGTGTGTGTGTGTGTGTGTGTGTGTGTGTGTGTGGATGAATGTGATGTTGCTGAGTGACTGAAACATGGGTGGTGTGTGGATGAATGTGATGTTGCTGAGTGACTGAAACATGGGTGGCCATACATACATGGTGGGGGTGGGGGTGTATACATGGTGTGGGTAACTGTTCAATTAACCACAACTGCAGTCGGGACTAACCTGACCTGATCTGAAGTTAACGGATGGGATTGGAGTTCTGTGGGATCAGGGGTGACCAACCGGTCTAGCTCGGTTGGTACACCCATGAGCTGCTGAAATACAGACCTGAGTTCGAATCCAAATGGAAGACGATCAACGTGAGGTGGGTGCGGGGGGGGTTGCCTGAGGGAACTGCTCTTTTTGAAGGTCTGTCTTCTCCTCCTCCTCCTCCTCCTCCTCCTCCCCCTCCTCCTCCTCCTCCTCCTCCTGCTGCTCCTGCTGCTCCTGCTGCTGCTGCTGCTGATGCTGCTGCTCTGAAATGGCTGTCAGGCTGTGGCAACCGGTGTTCCCATTTCGATGATTGCATTTTTCGGATATATGATTGCGTTTTTTGAATATAAACCAAGCTATATAATCAGAGGGTAACTTTTGTATTTGTCTCTTACAGTGAGGACGGCAGTTGGACGGATTTTGGATTGATTGAATCCAAAAAAAAAATCCTGTTAGGGTAGTTTTTGGCGGGAGAATTGAATCCAGCCTGTTACGGTTTGGCGGGAGAGTAGAGGAGGAAGGAAAGCAGCCCCGGATGAAACAGCACGATTCCGTTGTTTGCGGATGCTACCACCTGTGGTTTTCTTCTATAATTTCCATTTTAGGAAGGTTGCTTTGGACTGCTGCAGTGTTTTCACATGCAAGTTTTGCCTTTCCCCACTAAACCCTGGATGCTCCACCTCTCGGGATTCTTCTATGATTTCCATTTTAGGAAGGTTGCTATGGACTGCTGCAGTGTTTTCACACATATAAGTTTTGCTTTTCCCCACCTGCCCCTATATGTTCCACCACACTCGCTGCAGACACCTATTTAAGTGCATGTGTGTTTGTGTGTGTGTGAGAGAGAGAGAGAGACATAGAGAGCGAGGTGTGTGTGTGTGTGTGTGTGTGTGTGTGTGTGTGTG